AACTGACACTTATCAAAAGAGGCTTTGCTACAGTTTATTAACCAGATAAGGTATAGACCCCCAGCCTGATACATAAATTTGTGTTTGGTATTATATTCCTGACAGATTTGGCAAACATAGAAGTTATTTCTACTGCATAGGGAACAACCAACTTCAAATTGTAATTAGAAGGAATATTTTCAACCATCTTGAGACCTCAAGTCATAAACAAAACTCCAATCAGAATGACAAAGGACCACAGAAGCCCCCTTCTGCCTTGCATTCCCGTGGACCCCCATGTCCCAAGGACATGCTCTCAGCTCTGCTGAGCTCCCTGACCTCAACCTGACCAAGTCACGAAGTGGAAACTGAAAAATGTTTTCAGTATCAGTGGAAGGCAGAGATAACACTACACATAAAAAGTACCCTGCTTTTGTTTTAATAAAATACCACGTGAATTCCAGTTATAAAGTGAGGGAGCATATGGGTCCTAAAAGCCCAAAATACTTCTCTGCTGGAAACACCAGCCACACAGATCAGAGTGAGATGCTGTGTCGTCCCCAAACTCCCCATCACAGCGGGGTGAGGAAAAGTACTTTGAACTGAGTAAATAACAGAAATTAAACTGGCAGGAGCAGAACTTTCAAAATATTTTCCTGTGGCACAGTGCAGGACTTCAGAAGCAATTCCCTCCTCTAGACATTGCCATCAGCACACAGACATTCAGCCCTGAGAATCCTGTGGACAAATAACAATTTGTAGGAGCAGCCACTGGGGTGGCAATGACAGAGCACAGAGCACAAGGTCTGACATGAGACTTCAATGTCTAAACTTCTCTCCTAATAATCACCTCTCTTTCCAGAAAAGGCTTTCAGGGAAGCCTGAAAAAGAGAAAAATTTCACTTCCAGGGCACCTTGTCCAGCTGAGGACCCTTCTGCTGCCACAGAGAAAGAAGGATTTTTCTGCCTTGCAAAGTATGAGAAAATCTGGATAAACCTCAGAACCACTCTGGTCCTCAGTAAGGCCAAATGTTCTGGAATTAAACTTTTACTGCTACAAGACAGCTTTGTGTAGGCACATGCATGGCCATCACCAGAGGGCAAGGGCTCAGCTGGGCTTGGGCACCATGAGAGCCTTTGTGCTACGTGACAGGCTGGAGACACTGACCTTGAACTATCTCAGTAAAATCAGGACAGTTGATTGCCCCACTCTTCAGCTTTGTGTGCATGGGACGAAAAGACAAAAGTGACTCATTCAGGTGAAGGTGTAGAGCTACGTAGATTTGATCACAAGAGGAAACAGGTAGATAGATGGAGCTGGTGGTGTCTGGGTTGTCTTCATCATTGCTTTGTTCCAACCGGATCACAGGAACGTCATGACTGTCTTGTTCTTGCCGATCTGCCAGGGCTCCAGTGGGTAAAAGCGGATGACAATCCTTTTGGATATAAGAGCAAAAATGTGGACAGTGGACAGGAGACATTATTTTACAATTAATATTTATCCCTGCCCAGTTTGCAACATGGTAGAAAATCTGCACTGAGGTCTCAGTATCTTACACTTCACGGTATTAATTTAACAGAGGCAAACATAAGCTGTGTATGGGCAGGGTACAAACAGGTGCCAGACTTCACCCACACAAATAAAAGCAGACTGAATTTCAACAGTCTGCCTATGAGATACTTGTCCATTTCAGAAGGGCCCAAGCAAACTCTTGGCAGGGATTTACCCCAGCAGCATCCAAGAGGCAGGGAAATGCTATTATCACTCTCCTTTGGGGAGAGGGGCACAGAGGGACATAGCTGACCTTCAGGAACAGTCCTGTTCCCACATTTGGCATGGTGATCCCACTGTGAAGCTCTACCAATTCCTGTGGGGTTTTGCACCAATTTCACCAACTGAACTACTGATCTTCAGAGAACAGCTAAAGCCCAGACTGTTCAACAAGTGCAAACCAGTACACGGTTTTATCTGGCCCCAAACCACATATCTGGGGTTCAGCATCCAAGAGCACTTAGGGTTTGCAATCTAGTCTTGGATCTCTATTACACCTCCAAGAGGACATAGGAACTGCCCCAGCCTCGCTGCCCTTAACATCCCCTATACTTTGGTTTGCCGTGCTCCACATCTCGACGGACCACACAGACCTGTGTAGCTGATGGTAGGGACGATCTCCCTCTCTCTGCCCCAGGGGCTATCCCGGTGTCCTTGCCCTCGGGGCGAAGACGGCGCCGAGGCCGATGCCGCCCGGCCGGGCCGCACTCACCTCTCGGTGCCGAGGCCCAGCTGCGCCGTCAGGACGTCGAAGAAGCGGGCGCTGTGCCGCTGGTTCTGCTCCGCCGTGCCCACCACGCCGATGGAGGAGACGACCAGCTGCGCGCAGGGCTCGGCCGAGCCCGACAGCACCATGGGCAGCCCGCTCCGCACCGTCACATTCACCCGCTGCCGGCACAGACACCGTTAGGCCCTGCTGCTCCCGGCCCCGCCGCCCCCGGCCCCGCCGCCCCCGGCCCCGCGCTCACCTCGGCCGGTTTGCCCAGGATGTCCGCGGTAGCAGCGCACAGGGTCTGGGCCAGCCCCTGCGGCAGCCGCTCGGCCGGCAGGTTGGTCTCCAGCTCCACGAACGGCATCGCGCTGCTCCCACCGCGGCCCCAAACGCCCCGGCCCGGCCCCTGCCCCGCCCCCGGGCAACGGTGCCCCGGCGGGGGCGGGCTCAGCCCCGGACCGCCCGCAGCAGCGCCGTGTGCGACCTGCCCTCCCACTGCCCCTCGCCCTTTGCCGGCGCCAGGCAGCGCTCAGGGCTTGCTGTGCTCCACCGCTCCAGCACAGCTGCACCAGCTGGCTGTCGGGCCTTTGGGGTTTACCATGTGCCGTGCTGGGATATGCATTAGGGGCTGTGAGACCTCACACATCTCCCTGGGTAAAATGAGTTTTGTGACAGTTCTTTTGTGACATTTCAGGTCACTGCAACGGACACCTCTGCACCTGTCTGTGCAGGGAAGGTTGAGAATGGAAGCACAGTGATTTCTCGGAACAACCAGCACTACAAGAAACTAAAAAGCAAGCAGAGAGGTTTACTCCTTTATCCACTATGTATTAATTACCAGGACTTTGAGAAATCAGGACTTTGAGCTCCTGAGTTGATAAAAGTGACCCCGGCAGGCTGGCTCGCAGGGACAGCCTAATCTACAGATCAGAGGTGTCTTAACTAGAGATCAGAGGTTTCTCAGAACCTGAGCTACTGTGCAGTGAGGTTCCATGTGCTCATTTACAGCAAGGGGTTATGAACCAGCTTGACTGAAAGGTCATCTTGTTTAAGATGACTGTTGTGAAAATTGGCCCTGTGTAGTGTGACTTCTTGAGTTTCTACAGTCCTAGACAATGCTAATGAAAACTGATGGGATTGCTCATTTTTTTTTGCTGAGGGAATTGCTTGGCCTTCACTGCTGCTAATGAAGACAATACTGGCATAAGGGGCCATGTGTACAAACCAGCCAGGAATAAGTCTGGGAAAAGATTTCTAGGAGAGAGATTGTGAAGTGAGAGACCCAAAGGGAGAGGGGAGGGAGTACTGCAGGCTGGCAGGGGGTGGCTGCTTGCAGCGATAAGCAATAATACAGATGTTCCCTTTGAATCCAGGAAATCAGCAAAAGAAATTACCCCAAAAAGTTAGATTACAGGGCAAATTTATAGAAATGTATAATCTTGTAAATAGATGGTCTTGAGTTTGTCACCAAAACAAAGGCAGTGGGGGTACTCAGCCACCTTGCAAATCCTGGGAGCAAGCCCAGCCCTGCCTGTTTGCTGGGTGTCAATGACTCGAGGGAAGATGCCTTTTAGGATCCATTTTTCTATTTTTCTCACATTCCTTCAAATATCTCTTTCTCATATTCCTTTCTCATATTCCTTCAAAAATCTTCTCCAATTTCATTGCCAAAAAAACCCCATGTGACAAGAAACCAGTAGGCCTCTAAAGGGAAAGAAGATTTAAGTATCAGATGTCAGTAATTAGAACTGGATGGGGGACTGTCACAAACATCCTTAAAGATACGCATTGTCCTTTGCTCTTGATGGCAGATTGTTCATGGTCTCACAGAGATTTTGTTAAACTAAACACATTTGTTTTATTGTTTCTGTCTCAGATCAGGCAATTAAAATGCTTGTAGGGGGATGATCACCCAAGACAGGACAGCACAGCAGCAAATAGTCTCAAACATGCTCAGCCTTTGGAAAATGATGAGTTTGTTCTCTCCTGCAGACATTTGCAGTCTCATCATCCACTTCATGATTCCATTCTCAATATTATAAAAAAAATCAACCACTTCCCATTTAAAATTTAAGTCAGTTGTGGACAATATTATGTGAATAAAACATCAATAAAAACATATTATTCAGCTCATGTTTGGGAAGAAAGGAAGAGTGGGAATAAACATGTGCCTATTTCCAGCAGGGAAACAGACCTCCCTCCAGAGAGGGTCTTCAGTCAAGTCTCTTGACTTCATGGAGAACATAATCACAAAACAAAACTTCCTGCTAATGCAAGCTGAAGTTTATAAATGAGTTCTCTTTCCAGACAGGGAATTTAAAGATCTCTCTGGGCTCTGGATTAGACAGCATCTAGAACTGAAACCTTAGTGAAAAACATCATGAAAACACATCAGCTTTTATAGAACTTGCCAGCAAAAGTGTCACCAGCCAAGACATGGTACTACTGGGAAAAAACCCAAAGAGAGAAGCAACTCCTGAATTAATTACTCATTTTGTCTTAGTCTTTACAGGAAGAGTTCTTGGGCAAAGATTTCAGAGTAAGGTTCAAGGGCAACAACTACTTATGAAAGGAAATACACATATGTATATTCCACCATTTCTGTATCCTTTACAATTTGTTATATTCAACTGAAGAAACTAGAAATGGTTGGATTCGCTCAGTTTTACTTCATAAATTGTGCTGCAGTACAAAAGGATTTTGTATTTGAGCTACAGCTAACCCGAAACAAACAGCCAAGGAAAAGAGCCCAAAAGCTGCAAAACAACTCTCTGCCCTTCTATTGTGAGACATATGTTGCTCAATGCCACAAAATCTCTCTTATTACTTCAGCTGCACAGGGTGACTTACTTGGTGAACCTCCATCCAAAACAGTCTCAGAGGAGCAGGTCTGCATTTATTCCCCGTCTGCATTTATTCCCCCTATCCATTTTCTAGGAGGAATGTGGATTGCTATTACAGTATTACCACAGAAAAAAAATCATTTGTTTACTGTTACATATTCTTTCAAGAAATCACAGTGAATGCATTCTTTCAGAGTACTCCCTCTATAATATCAACATGGTATTTTAGGCAGGCAATGATTCCAAGGCTGTGGCCACCACCAGCTTGTTGAAGTGACTTGGTCTTTCCTGCACAGATCTCCAAGAACAGCCCCTGCCACACGTGTACTGGCAGACTGAGCACCAAGGGAACTCAGGCTTTCAGAAATCAAAAGCAGTGGTTAAACTGAAGAATTATAAAGATTCACAGTTGTAGAGGAATACAAAGAAATTTCTCACAGGAACCTAAAGGCAGCTAGAACTGTGGAATGTACATGGACAGCCAAGCAAGATGCCTCAGAAATAAGAAACTTAAGAAAAAAAATCAAATTCTTTTTTTCACTTTTGTGAAGTAGTTTTGTGCTGTAATTGCCTGTGCAGACATGTCCTCGAAGATGAGAATTAGGCACACTTTGCAGTGTAAATGTTAAAAACTCGTGAAAACAACAATCCTCATCCTCTTCAGTTCTCTAATGTTCCCAGTTTATAGGCTGGCTCAGATTCTGTCAGGAAATACCGTTCTTGTTTCTAGCACTGCTGAAAAGACTGACTCTTAAATAAAATCCAGATGCATATTAAGTGACCTGTAGGGCCTCAGCCTTCTGTATAAATTTAATGTTTCAGTTCTTAAACCTTCCCCAGCTTCTACCCCCAAAGATACAAGAAAGGCCTGGCCAGGGGGGAAACACTCTGCAATTTCTGTGTTAGAATTACAGTGCTCTTTCCAGCTACATGTAGAACTGGAGGTCACAGAAGAAGTTAAAAAAAAAGAAAAAAAAAGGCAGGAAAAATTGCAAGATAGGTTAATTCATTTCAACATCTTCATCAGCACAGGTGCCAGTTGCTCTTTCAGCTGTGGATCAATTTGAATGTTGCTCAGTTCTCTGATATTGAGGATCATCTCATGGGCTTGGAAGAAAAGCTCTTTCCCCACAGCATCCTCCACCCGCCTGCGCCACTCCATCAGCCTGGGTCTGTCCTCGAAGATGTCACAACCAACTCCAACAGGCTGCAGAAAGGGGAGAGAGCAACAGTGAGGCTTTGGGCAGTCACTTCACCGAGACAACAGGTACCAAAAGTGTACCCTGAGGTACAGATAAAGGAAAAAAAATGAAGAGTTCATAGAGGAGCTGTAGGAAGGAGGGAAATCTCCTCTGGTCAGGTGTACCTATCTAGGGAACACAGAAGCTAAACTATTTTAAAAGGCATCTACAAATCAATTTTTGAGTGCTGAAAGAGCTGTTATGAGCAGCAGAGGTGATTACTATGTACTGTGAGTGATTTTCAGCCACAACATTGAAGGGGTGGTGGGCTGGCAGTTCCAGGGACCACTGCACAGTTTGCAGGACAGGTCTGACAAAGAACAACCAGTTTGTAACAGATTTAATTTGATTGCCTCTGTCTGAGACTAATTCTTGCATCTTCCGGACATGGCATGGGCAAGTACCATATTTTTGAATGATAAAAATATTCCTATATTTTTTACTTCATCAGACCTGTCTGCTATTGCTTCTCACTTAAACATATTACCTCTTTCTCTGGAGGTTAAAAATAAAGTCATGATAAAGAATGAAGAGGAGGTATTGTTAGAGAAGAGAAACAAAAGAGATCTGTTGCAGCCAGCTTTTTTTTTGTGTGTGTTCTAAACCCACTCCCATATTCTCCCTATTGTTTTAGGCTCGTTCTGTTGAGATATGCCCTCACTCCGCTTTCTACTGAAGTGTTACCACATGCTGCACCCTCCCTGCCCAGCAGCATCTGTTTTCCCTTGTGCTGACACTTCCTTACCAAACTCCACCACTCACTTGCATCAGCTCCACAATGGCCACAAGATCTGCCAGGGAGATCTCGCTCCCAATGATAAAAGCCTTGTCCTGCAGAAACCTCTCCTCAAATTGCTTCAGGGAAGTGGACAGACCCTCCATAACCTCCTGGAGCTTCTCGGAGGGCAGTGGCTGCCCTGTGAAGAGGGGAATCAGCACCTGAGGAGAGAAGGGACTTAAAAGTACAGTTGGCCGTCTTCTCACGGATCCAATCATTGTAATCTCAGTTACACCCCATGAACTACTCATGGTCATCAGTGATCTGCAGCAAAGCCACAGGAGGGGATGATGGTGGAGCTTCATGGACTGCTACAGTTCCAAGTAGCTCATGGACAGAGAGCACACGAGCAGGGCAAAGGGGCTGACCTGAACTCCAGCTAATCAGCAGCAATGTGCAGAACTAAATCACGGATTCATCTCATTTTGTCCCTGGCAGTTATATCCTCCCATTCCACCCTGTTGGGTTACAAAAGAAAAGTGGGCAACAGCTCCAAGGGAAGACAAATCTCTGCCATATTCACCCCTGTTACATCCTCTGTTTAACCAGCCAGCCAAGGCAGGTCAGCAGCTGCCTGCCCACCAGCCACCCTGGCCATGGAACTGGGTGCTGGAGGCAGCTGCCTGTCCCACAGGATGATGGAGAGGAGGGAATGGGGATGGGGAGGCACTAGAATGCTGGAAGGACTGGCTGGAAAGGCAGAAATGGCTTCCTCTGTGTGACAGCAGCCAGTGAGGCTGGGAGTGGGTCAACACCATTTTTACACCAGCCTTTCTGTGGCCTCCCAAGCACCACTCTTTAAACCACTAAAAACTTTTCCAGAGCAATCACATAACTGCAGTCCTTGTGTCTCCACTGACTTGCTGGCACAGAGGATAGTTGCCTTTCCAAGGCATTTTTAGCTGCTCACAGGGGTATACCCACCACCAGAGCCCACAGTGTTTCGCAACTACGCTGCCTCCACCTTCCACAGCTAAAGAAATACAGTTTATTAAGAGAATCAAAATTAAAGATACACATTTCAATCAGTGCAAGTTGACTGAATTTCTACTTACTGCAAGCATATTCAACAATTCAAGCTGAGATTGCTTAATCCAAGCCATGATTTTGGCCAAATACATGTGGAATCTATTTCATCAGGAAATTCATGGCCAGTTATTTTCCTCAGTGATTCCAATTATGCATGATGGGATCTCTGGATAAAATCACTTGAAACAGCATCTTCTTCCTTTTCTTTATCTCAGGGCAGTCTATCTTCTCCCATTTCTAGCTAATACGCTTCTGTTACATGGTGGCTTTATATGTTTCCATATTTTCAGTTATTCTGAGGACCTTTTCTGCATTTGGGTTATCTAATCATCTGCAGGAAGTAGTTGGATTTCTTTCTCTTAGAGCACTGCAGTAACAGCCTGCAGAGGCTGGAAGAAACTGCTTCTTGTATGAATCTGACTCATATTTGAATTGTTTCTCTGTACTCTATAACCAAAAAATCAAATGCCAATAAATCAATAAATGAGTCCTGATATGCTTTGTTAGACACAAACAAGGGCAAACTTTACAGCTGAGGAGGAAAGTTCTTACCTGTTCACTAGCAATTATGATTTCATCTGAAATTTCATACCACAGCTGTACTTGCAGGGCTGTATTTGCACCTGGGTCTCTCTGAGGATAGCTGCATTAACTGTGAGTTGGCTGGAAATAGGTGTCCAGCAAAATCATCTGATACTACATAACTTTCTGCCTCGGGGTAATTCTTTTTATTTTGCCTAAATGTATATTGACCTGACTACACTGAATAAGGGAAATCTGCATTTCTGAGTCTCTCTTCTCTCTGTCCCTGAGCCCAGTACCTAAGCGTACTGGAAGCAGAAGGCTCCTTTGGGATTTCTACCCTGATGGGGCTGCAGGGATTTGTATGAAAACAGCAAGTCTTTCTGCTTCCAGCAACAAAGTACACGCTCACCAAAGCCAAACTTCTGCCGATGTGCACGCTCTGCACAGCTGTGCAGTGAGGGGGAGGCCCCTGGAGGCAATACCCAATCAGTTATATATTCATTCAAAAATCCAGGCAATGGAACTCTGTTGGGTTCAAGATGTTCTGTACCAGATGTACTTCAAGGAAAAAAACCAAAATGGCCAAAGCTGCTTTTGCCAAATCCTGATGTTGATCAATTCAGAACAGCTCCCTCTCCGACAGCTCCTCTTGGCTGGGAATGGCCCAGGTCTGTTGTTTCAGCACGACAAACTCCCTCCGGATTGGGGGTGTTCAAATGCTCAGTATTCTTGCAGGCAAACATCACTTCACTCCACTCACATTTGAATAGTCAGTCTCCTTACCTTGATCCACATGGTCTTAGGAGCATTAGCCCGGATGTTGGCATGATGCCAGGAGAGGTATTCATCTACCCGGGCCCGTTTTTGTATGTCTGATGGGTACCAGTGGTCAGGAGTGTTGTACTTTCGACTCAGGTACAGCAGAATGGCAGTGCTGCTCACACACCAACAGGAGACAAGAGAGGGGTCAGGCAGTTGTGATGCAGAATGCTCTCACCTAAGCTCCCTCTCCTGCTCCTTCTGAACTTGCTGCTTCCACCAAAAAGTATTCAGATCAGGATTTCCAGTGGAGTCTAGGGACCATATAAAGGCATCTAATTCGTGTTGACATCAGAGATGGCCCTTAATCACCTTAGTTCCCACAAAAACTTTAACCTGCTGGAAAATCACAGCACTGTTCTGTGGTGCTGTTGGACAGTACTGGGGTAAACAAACAATAAATCTCCATTATCATCTACAGCAATGGTAACTCTACTTGCTCCTTGACTGTTCTGACCCATCTCTCCAAGACCTACACATGTTTATGTGCTTGTGTACAAAACTCTCTAATGGGTTATGCTGCCTTTTCATCAGGCCTGTCTCTAGCCTGCAGCTTCCACTGAAGTCTGTGGAAAGCCCAGCAAGGAAACCCTACAGAATCTTTTTGTGTTTGTCCAGATGTTTATACTTCCACTAACTCGCAGGAGGAGTCAGATGGAAAGATATCTTAGTCATCTGCAACAATACTTAGGCTGTTACTACAACTAAAAATGCCACAGAAAATGTGCTGACAAAATGGAAGAAAATGCAGACCCCTCTACTATCTTGGTACTACTATAGTTCAATTATTTCAGTATTATGACACCATTAATGAGTCTCCATATTAGTCTTTTAATGTAAAGCCTAAATTTTATCTCTGTCGATGTTCACTCAGCCTTTATGACTAATGCAGATAAACAGAATTCTTTCCTAGAGTAAAAGGGTTTTTCTTTTCCTAGGGTGAAAGGAATTTTTATAAGCTTTAAACATTTCCCAGAAATGTTTATAATCCCATTTTGAGGTAAGTGCATTCAGGGTGAGATCAAGAAGCTAAGTCAGCTAAATTGTTTACATTCTGAAAGATACTTCAAACAGAAAATGGAAAGAGATCAAATGAGGTTATACTATTAAAAATAACCAACACGTTCATATATACTGTGATCCTTAATCATTCCATGGGAATGACATCTTCTAAATGCAGCACAGATTGCTGGTATCCAAGGAAGTCTAAGGACTGAGTTCTTACCATTCCGCGAGGGTGAAGTCTCCGTCCTTCAGTGCTGGTACTTTCTTTAAGAGGCTGACTTTGCCAGTGCCTTGGCTATTTGATGGCTCTAAGAACATGAACAGACAAGGCTGAGGTTAGAAGTGTATCTGTCAGTGAATGATAAATGAGGTATCTGCAGCCAACTGGACAATCAGTGACCTGTGTTAGGTTTTCCTGTGATGGTCGTATTTCACAATTAAAAGGTAATGACATGGAAGAGTCAGTGTAAGAGCTGTCTGTAGAGGGCAGTCGGCTCAGGCTGGGCCTGCAGCATGGAGCAGTTCACATTTCTATACAGGAGTTCTACTGCTTGACTCAGGGACCAGGATACTGGCAAAACTTACTGACAAAAACCACTCCGTGAGAGGCACTTAGAGCACACAATGAAGGTGCTGGTATTGAAAACACCATTGCAGATAAAAAAGAACAGCTGACTTGTCTTGAGAATGATGTGTCCTATGGCTTTAGAGACAGAGGGGAAAAAGACAGAAGTCAGGATGAGGACAACTGAGCACCTACAAAATACTTAATATTTGCCAAGGGAGCAGGGTCTGGGAAAGTTGAGTTTGCATACAGAGCATCCTAATGAGGACAGATGGTTGCTACTCCTGGTCCAGTTCTGACAGGCACCACCAAAACAAAGTAATTTTCCCGCAGTTTGTAAATGTGGGTGACTAGCTAGGATGGTCACGATGGAAAGCAACTGAAAAGCCCTGTGCCCCCAGAGATCACTGTAGTGGCTGATCAACCAAAGAGAACCCAACTAGATAACAGACACACTGAGCAAAATCTTTCTCCTGTTTGTTTATCTCTGAAAAGTAGAGGGAATTGAGCACTTACAAAGAAAGTAAATGTTGTCAACAGAGCTGATCCCTCAGCAGATATGTAGCTGAGGATGTTTCCAAAGTTTTTGACTGGAAAAACATGAGTGCCAGCAGTACGACTGTAGGTTCATAAAATAAGCCAGATGTGGACATTTGCCAGGGGCAAGGAAGCTCAGACACCTCCACCCTTTATTATTCCTGACTCTGTGCTACACCTGACTCTGCATGTCAGCCTACCTCTGATAGGAAAATGCAGGAAGACACCATCCCATAAGAATTTAAACTCCACAGTCCCCTGGAGGCATCAACAGCTGACCATCTAATCAGACTTTTAGTTTCCTGCTGCTGGCACTGCTCTTGCCAGTCGGTAGTTAAATTGCCAGGGAACTGTTCAACAGTCCAGGAACACCTGAGCAGAAAAGCTCTGAGGAATTTGTGTGCTTTGCTTGTTTTAAGTGCCCCTTAGAAGGAGGAGGGAGAAAAAAAAAAAAAAGAAGGGCTCTTTAACTAAGAGTGATCTCCATCCCCAAGAACTATTTGCCCCCATTCCGGAGGCAGTGACACTGTCTGCTTTACTGGACAAATGTGCAGCAGGAAATAAGTCTCCAGGAAATAAAACCACCCTCTGGACTATCAAATTTGTTTGCATGTGGTTTGGGAAGGGGTGGGAGAAGGCAAGTAGCTGCATTACAATTACAGACTCCTTTCCCTTTATAGATTTCACATAATGAGGCAAATCAAGCACAGCAGACATTACCACCCTGTTTTCCTTTCTAGCTGACTAGCCTCTACCTTGTTTCTTTGAGAAGTATTTTTTTTAAATTCCAGTGTAAGTAGCTTCATCAGAGACTAAGGTTCACATCCATCTGCTGTCTGAAGGGATTCAAACCCATGTGTTCCATCTCAGTGGGAAAAGTTTCTGGCTACCTGCTGTGATGGTGGCCTCCAGCTTAGCTGGGTAAGAGGTTCCACGTGCAGAACCAGGCAGCACTGTCAGGAGAGGCAGGAAGACAGAGCTTCTTAAGAATAAGAGCTAGACAGAAAGTGCAAGTTAAGCCTAATAATTGAGGAAATTTAATATAAAAATGCCCAAAAATCAAGCCAGCAGGCCAAGTACAAGGTGCCTCACACACAATTTGTATGACAGAAACAGCAAGGCAAATTTTTGTAATCTATTGTCATGCAAGGAGTTGCTTGGGGAAGGTGCTTGGTCCTGTGCTTTTAGAAGGGCTCCAAAGGCCAGTGGTCATCACACACCCAGCTCTGGTGAGATCTGGTGAGTGGTCAGGGGGTCCTTGGAAAAAAGCAGCAGAAAGTTTCCAGTCAGTAATGCTTCCAACTAATGAGCACTCCCTTGTCAGACCCAGTTGTTGTCCTGCTGTCTGTGTTTATTATCCAAGGTAGCAGGAAACTAAGAAACAAGGACATGAGAAGTAAGCAGTGGATGAGGGCAGCCTGAACCAGATTTCAGCCAGCTTTCATCATACAGCAGTCCTAGCAGGAATACTGAGCATATTTGTTCCGTGATGGGACTAACACGTCATTACATCAGGCTGGACAGTAGGTCGGTGTCTGTAACACAGCCCAGAGATGGCACCTCATGTGCTCTGGTTTGTACAAAGTCTTTATACACAGAAGAAAAGACCTGTGCCAAGACTCTGCAACTGAGCTGAGAACTGGCAAATGCCTTGGTGTGAACACTAACTGCAGGCAGCTTCATTGGGACCAACTGCTTATTGTGTGAAAATAGAGACCAATATTTGTGTTTGCTGTTTAACAGAGTTTAAGCTTCTGCCTCTCTTCCAGCCAGCAGAGCCAGCCTTTTTGTTTAGTGGTATTAGGTGGCCTATCTTTATCATTCCTGTGATGTTGGCTTGACTTATGGTTCTGTTTAACATCAGTTGTATCTGGTGTAATTAGATCTTGATGTCCCTCAAGAATATATAGATATATATATATGTGTGTATTGTTGGGCTTTGAGGAGTAACTCTAACAAGGAAAGTATTACACTGTAAAAAAGGCAAGGCAGGCTGCACACACAAGGAATTCTTAAGTGTAAGTCATAGAAGGAGGGAGACATTGCTGAATGAAAAGAGCAGTGGACAAGATTTTACAGAAATAGAAAGGAAAAAACTCCAGTCTATTTGCCAGTCATGTCCCTGCCTAATCATGTCCTCAGCTAAGGATTTCCAAGTACTGTGCTTTGCCTTGTGCACAAAAGCAACAATTTTCTAGGAAAATGCAATATGTAACTGGGCAATAGTTATATAGTTGGGCGAGCCCGAACAGCTGAGTGTTTCTGCAAAGTACAGCATTCCCAGAGCACTCCTGGGCTGCTACTGCGACTCATGGCTAGGCTTCGCGAACGAACCACTGCGACTAATTTGCTAGAAATGGCTGGAGGAACATTGCTTGGTGATCCACAAAAATAGATGCAGCGGAGCTAAGAGACCGCTCTGGGAACAAGAGTCGCACGGTCAAACCACTGCGTTCAATGCCCTGGGCAGCGCACGGATTCAGCATCACTCGGGTGACCCCGGGAGCTCGTCCTTCCCTCCCACCAGGCCGAAGGACGCGCTGCTGCTCCTCTGCCGAGAGGCGAAGGGGCTCCCCCGGGGGCCGGGAGAACAAACTCGCCGCAGGTCCGGGCCCGCACTGGAGGGCTCAGCCCGGCCCCCGCCCGGGGATGGCGTTCCAGCGCCCCGGAGCGCGGCTCGTCCGGCCCCTCCCCGCCCGGGGACAGGCTCGGTGCCCGCCGCGGGGACCTTTCCGTCTCCTGCCCTGCTCTCACCTGCACGGGGCTGCTCCGCGCCGCTCCCCGCCGCCGGCCTCTTCCCCAGCACCGAGTCTGCCAAGAGCCAAGAGAGGGGCTGAGCCCGCCGCCCCGCCGGGCTGCGCCCGCCCCGGCCCCGCTCTGTGTCGGGGCGGCGCGCCCGTCCCACCTTTGAACAGCTCCACGTGCTTGAACTCGAAGGGGATGTTGTTGCTCCGGGCGAAGATGTAGATGGAGCGGCAGGGCTGCGAGAGCAGGTCCAGGTACAGCTCCAGCCCCATCCCGACCCGGCCCGCCCTGCGCGGAGCTGCCGCGGCTCTGCCGCCGGCCGCCCGGAGCCGCCCCGCATGGGCCGGCGGGGGCCGAGCCGCGTCGGGCGGGAGGTGCCCTCTGTCCCTCCCCTCCTCCCTTCCCCGGGCCGCGCCGGGCGGGGGGCGGTGGCTGTGCGGGGCACGGAGCCGGAGGGAGCGGGGTGTGAGCCGTGGGGGGATCGCGGGGCGCCAGCTTCCTGCGGGGTGCGGTCTGGATAATGCCAGAGAAGCCCAGGAGAGCCCCCCCCCCCCCGACCGTGGCAGGGGCGGGAAGGCACGGCTGGAATTTGGGCAGAGGGCACAGAATTCCCTATCCCACCGTCAAGCGGCCCTGGCCCGCTGGGGCTGGCACCGTGCCTATTCATTTTCCTCCAGGAAAGGAAGGTAACATGAGAGAGAAACTGCGAGTAACAGTCTATTGCCAGCCTCAAAAGAGAGGCTGTCACTAAGCACTGAGAGAGCAGGGGTTGTCATTGCAGCCTTGGCTGGCACCAAAGGGGCTCGGGAGCTGCTCTCACCCTCAGCATCCCACCGTGGCTCTTAGAAGGTAAATGCTTGTTCTGGTAACACAGCTCTGCAGGGATGTGCCACTCTGCAGACAAGGCCTTTGCACAACATCCTCTCAGCCAGCATTAATCTCACACCGCCAGATCTCAGGATGGTTTTCAGTTCAGAACATAATTCTTTGGTCACGTAGTCTCTGCCCAGTCCTGTGAGGTGACACCTGAATGGCAGTGAAGCGTGGAGGACTTCTCTGCAGGCATTACATCTGCATACTTACTCAAAGTGACTTTCTGCTCTCCCTGGTATTTGTCACTTCAGATTTCCACGCAAGTGGAGGAGAACTAAAGAGGCTTAGACTCAATTCAAGCCCTTGCACTGGGTCTGCAGCATTTCACAGCTGTGTGATTCAGGGAAGGTGACATGCTGGCTGAGTGCAGGGACTTCTGGGACTGGGAGATAGAGCAGCTGAACCACTTAGAGCAAAGTCACCTCCAGTCAAACCCACCTCGGCTCAGCTGACACCTTTTTATCAGTGTTGTGCCATAGAGCCTGTGTGTTGCACAAATCTTTGGAAAGAGCTATGTGAACCTCAGGGAGAGGGAACTGGAGGATCAGTTGCTTTTTTTTCTTGTAGAGAGGATTGTTACCAAGGGTGGTGAGAAGGCTCAGCTACTGAGCTCGGAGCTCTGGGTAAATTACAAACTGGAACACTTTCAGGGGTTTAGAACTTTCAGATTTAGAACCACGCTATAAGAGTTTTTCAATTTCTCAGCCAGAACGGGGAAAGGAGCTGTGCACACCCTCCAGTTCCCCTGCATGCACAGTTTACCCTCTAGAGCACCTGCACCAGCACCAATATGCTGGAGATCAAGGTGTTGTGGTAGGTGCTTGAGTTCAAACTGCTTCAGTACAAAGGAATCTTAAATGTTAAGGGAGTGGGGAAAAGGAGCGTGAAAGTGGCTCTGCACAGGTAATAGTCTGAGAAGTCTTTGTGCTTCAGAGTGGTTGCATGTCCCTACTCAGAGATATCCCTGTGAAGAGTTTGTTGATCTCAGTGGTGTGCAGCAACCTTAGCAGCGTGGGTTTGCTTTGCTCCTTTATTTATGATTCAGTTGATCTGTTAGTCCTATCTGGACTTCAAAGATCTTTTCATGTGCCTCCTGGAAATGTTCCTTCCTTAAGTTTTCCTCCAATTTGCTGACTGCGTTGCACAGCCCACTCAACCCAAGAGGTATTTTTATCTGGTTGTGTTATAGGCCATTTGATTGATTATTCCTGGCTCCAGGCTTGTGCTTCTAGCACTGTATTTTCACTTAACTCCATCACCTCAAAGGCCATTTTTCCTGCCCTTATTTTCTCTGTCAGCTTTTTGGGAACAGGAACAAGACAGAAAAAACGCTTTAAGTTCTGCAATTTATTTCTTAGTAATTTAGAAAAGGTCTCAGGATGTGGATCTGCTTTTTAACTATTCCTCCCATTTTATGTATCCCAGCTTCAATTTATTCTAAAAGTCACAGGCTCTCACCTATTTCCAAATAGCCCCTGGCAAGAGTTGAGCAAATTGAATCGAACAGCATGTTAAACTGACACTGGAGGTGTGACCCTCTCCCTTTTCAGGGTGAAAGGGGAGTGGACACTCAACAACAGACCTTGCAGGCAAGGCAGGCAAAACTCTTGCACAACCTGCTGGGTTTTGGCAGGCAGCTCTCAGGGCTTTCAGTCTGGGAACTGGAACCTGACAAGATCAAATGACACAAAATGCAGAGGTGTAGGGATAGCAAAAGGCAAAGTACAAGGATGAGTTGCCTTATCTCCACTATTTAGAGCAAAAAACAAGGCATCTGTTGTACAACTCTGTGACCATCCAAGGAGTTGCTCTAGGGAGGTGCTTTGTCCTGTGTGCATAGAAGGGCCCAAAATACCACTGGTCACTGCACCGTGAACATGCAACAGACCAGAGACTATGGGAAAAACAATTTAAAATCTCTTCCTGTCACCATGACCAGGCTGGAGTGAGGCGAGTGTGCTTATCCTTTGTGACACAGAGGTGGAGGAGCACTAGAGAGCCAGCTCTGAACATAGTTCAGGCTTGGTTTTGAAGGCAGCCGTCCTCACAGGAGCACACAATGGGTGACATTTAAGGAACTTGTGCCTTATTCCAACAAGCAGAAAATTGGCTCAAGACTCTTACATGGAGTACTTGTGCCACAAGTATCATAAATTAGAAAATGAAAAGAAAGACACTTTATTTACCTTGGCTTATGCAATGGTTTGCGTGTAGAGCAGCCCTGTCTGGAGGTTCTGCAGGGAGATGTGTGTCAGGAAAGGCTCTGCTCCCAAGCCCGGTCTGAGGTTTGTCAAGGTTAGCACTCTGCAGAATAGGCTCTTGGTTTTGGTTATTTCTCTGCTCTGATTCTACTTGTGCAGAAGCTGTGGGAGACATTTATTGTGCTGGTAGGAAGCTTGCTCTCTACAAGAAAGGGAAAAGTTGGAAGTCAGGAATCTTGAAGTTAGGGTAAGTACAAAGGTGCCAACAGCAGAGTGCAGCGAGGCTGGGCAGCCTTGGTGAGGCAGCGAAGGCACCTCTTTGATTGCAGGGTGCACAGCAGCCCAGCTGGTGACTGTGGTAAAGCTGCAGGTTACAGAGGGAAGGAAGTGGTTGGTGGTACAACGTAAACAGGCTGTTCTCGTGAGGCTCAGCACTGCTGGCAACTTGAGCAGTGGGGCAGCATCGTCAGGGGTTGCTGCTCAGGCACCCTTGGGGCAAGAAGAGAGCTCCTGTCATTGACTTTACTCATTGGCATGCAACAGGCTCTTCTCAACAAACCTACCCATAAAAAATCAGGTCAGAAGACAAATATCCCTGCATGTGTCAGCACTGAAAGTGAAAAAGTTTTGGGGAAAAGCTGACTTTTCATCACTCACATTTAGGATTTCCCGTAGGCTGGAGGAACGGAAGGTAAAGGGACCAGCCTGCTTGGCTGCTATAGCTCAGCCCACAGGCATGTGTGTTGCAAGCTGTAGTTCACGTGCCCTTTTGAACTAAAGGGCAGGTTTACTCAGGAGACAAACACAGAAGAGGGAGCTGGCTCATTCCCCAAAAACAGTAGGTCCAACTGAAAACATGCGTGAGATTGTTTGAGCAGCTAATTGCACCTTTTCTGAGCACTGTCATGACGTGCATTCAGATGGCTGACATCTCACCCCCAGTGTTCTGCAGGGCTGTCTCTGTGAACAGTGTAACCAGCCAGCACAGACAGACTTCCAGATACAACCAGAGCTGAACCAGGAGGCGGGAAAAAACAATTCTGCAAACTGGAACCCTCCTTGCGGAAGCCTGTACCTGGAAATGGGAGGTCACAGGACAGGAGGACAGGAAGGCAGGAGGGACACGAAGGGGCACAGGCAAGAGGTTGTAAAGGGTGCTGCACAGGTGTGCAGGATGACTCAATGTCCACTTCCTTCCAAATCCTGTTTACAAATCCAAACAGAGCTACACCACCTGGCAAATGTAACCATTAACCTTACTAGAGGATCTGATGAGACAAAAGAGTAGTGGAACATTAACTGTATTTGGGGCATTACTCAGCTCTTGTACTGAATGCTCTGCTCACCCAGGGCTGGCCAGCACAGCTCCCACTGCCCTCAGTGCTGGCCCAGCCACGACAGCCCCCATCAGTGCACACAGCCTGGCCTAAGTGGCTTCTGTTGAGCTGACAAAGCCACTGTGGGAAAACAGAGCGAGCACTGGTGTGGTTACAGTGGGGAGTGTGTGGCTGGCAGCAGCTTGACCAAGAAAAGCAGCTTTTCGCCACTGTGCAGGGTGTTCTTTGTAGAGTGTGATATGAGTCTGTGGTCAAGGAATTTTATTGACAGGACTAACCCCATCCTTCCCAGAAGCTGGAGGCCTCCCTTGGGTACCCACACAGCTCCCTGCTCCTGGGCACTGTGTCCCTTTGCTCCTACAGATGATGCAGCAGCATCTAGTGGCCAGGTGCTCTAAGAGCCCTGGCAGTGTCCCCAGCAGGGGCTGGGTCCTGACCTGCCTCTTACCTAAAGAGTAAAAATCTTCCAGCAGAGCGTTTTCACTTTGCAGAGTGAAAACAATTATTTTTTCCTTGTTTCAGGTAAATCTATTCCACCATACCCTCAGGAAACCTTTGCTCTTGTCTGGAAAACTCTGAACAGAGGTTGAGAAGGCAAATCTAACTGGCTCCCATTTCCACACAGACTGAATCACCTCAGTCCTCAAGCAGATCCAGTGGTGCTGGAACATGAAAGAAAAGCCTTCAGGGCTACAGCTCCCATGCTGCAGTGCACAAGAGAAGAAAGCAGCTCACAGCAGTTTAAAATGTACTTTTCTTCCCTTCTAAGTTGCAGAAAGGCTGTGAGTAAAGGGAAGTGCATTTTGTGGAATGGTGTTTCTGTATGATTTTTAGAAGAAATGCTGAAAGACTACAGTAAGCCTTCATAAAATAATCTATTTTATTAG